CAATTATTTCGTCATTAATTGAGTTTCAATTATTTTTGTGATAATTTAATTGCAATTAATTTTTCGGTAGGCCTGATCAATACTATCCAATTATTATATTGGTACTTAATTAATACCCCAATACCAAAGTCATCAGAAAAAGAGATATAAAATCAATTATCAGTCCAATAGTTATCATGCCCTCTAACTGATAAAAAATGGATTAATCATAATACACGTATTTTTTGATTTACTTTTCAAACTCCGAATCATTACCTTAATTTGCCAATAGGAAATCACTTCTTAATTCGTGCTATGATAAATGAACAAATTGTTATTCGATCCTATACTCCAATCAAAATATCTTCAGAATATTTTGATTTACTTATTAATGTATATCTCAAGAACACGTATCCAAACTATCCAAATGGTGGATTAATGTCTCAGCATATGGATGAATTACATATTGGTGATTGCATCGAAGTAAAGGGTCCGCTTGGTGTATTCACGTATAATGGCTATGGACAATATCAAATTAAAAATGGTACTAAAGAGACATTACATAAATGCAAGAAGATTAGTTTAATTTGTGGTGGATCTGGTATAACACCCGCATATCAATTAATTCAATCTGTCTTTCGAGACCCGAAAAATAAAACCGAACTGTCTTTAATATATGCAAATAGAACTGAAACTGATATACTGTTAAAAATGAATTAGATGAAATTGCAATCTGCGACAAAAGATTCAAAGTATATTATACTTTGGATGATCCACCTAATGATTGGCCATATGTAAAGGGATATATTTCTAAAGCGATAATTCATAAACGGTTGCATGCGCCTATGAAAGATTCTCAAAGTATTGTACTGACGTGTGGTCCACAACCAATGTTAGATTTTGCTTGTATACAAAATTTAAAGAAAGTTGGATTCAAAGGTTCGAAATATTTTATCTTTTAAATCAATTTTATAAATTTCATTCATTTTTTTTCATCACTTTTATATTTAACTTATTCTATGGATACTTTTACAAGCCATTTATTAGAGGGCACACTACTAATGTAACTTATTGTATATTGCTTATTGAATCATTCAAAGCATATATTACTATTGCTATAATTTTAAATATCTTAGATGTTCTGATATATTTTGGATTTTTTTTTTAGCCAATATTGTATTATTGTATATATATATTGCAGGCCTACCGAAAAATTAATTGCAATTAAATTATCACAAAAATAATTGAAACTCAATTAATGACGAAATAATTGC